TACAAAAATGGAAGAATGTAACATGCTCTTGAACAGGAGGACCTGACATTGTGAAAATGTCAATACTACCCAAAGCAATCTACAGGTAAAACGCAATTCCAATCCAGATTCCAACAACATTCTTTAAAGAGATGCAAAGTCCTCAGCTATGCAAAGAACTGCTTAAGAAGAAGAACAAAGTTGGAGGCCTCTCACTCCCTGATTTCAAAATTAACTACATGTCTACAGTGGTCAATGTAACCTGGTATTTGTACAATGAAAGCTATATAGATCAATGGGACAGAATTAAGAACCTAGAAATTAATACAACCACATACAGCCAATTGATTTTGGGCAAACAACCAAAATGCATCGAGTGTGAAGGAATTGGTCTCTTTAGCAGATGTGGCTGGCAAAACTGGAAATCAATATGCAAAAGAATGAAACAAGACTTTTATCTAACACCATAGACAAAAACTTACTCAACATGGATGAAAGACCTAAATGTAAATCCCAGAACTGTAAAAGTCATCAATAAAAAAATAGGGACAAGTTTAAGGGCTCTAATACAGGCCACACACAGAATACCAAACATTGCAAAATTCGCACAATCAAAAGATAAAACAGATGACTGGGACATCCTAAAAACTGGAAACTTATGTGCATCAAAAGATTTCATCAAGAGTAAAAATGGAGCCCACAGAATGTGAAAACATTTTTGCAGCAACATATCAGACAAGGGACTAAGCTCTAAAATCTATAGGAAACTACAACACATCTACTAGAAAAAGACAAATAACTGAATTTTAAAACAGGCATAGGGTATGAACAGACACTTCACCGAGGAAGACATTCGGACAGTCAACAAACATACGAAGAACTGTTCACGATCATTAACCATTTGTTGTTGTTAAGTGCCATCAAGTTGATACCGACCCATAGCAACCCTAGTGTAGGGTTTATGAGGAGCAGCTGGTGACCTTGAACTGCCGACCTAGCAGTTCAAATTGTTTTGCAGTCTGGCACATCAACCCACAGCACCTCACCATTAACTATTGTTGTTGTTAAGTGTGGAACCGTAGAGTCAGTTCCAACTCATAGTGACCCTGCACAGGATTTCCGAGGCTGTAAATCTTTACGGAAGCAGAACGCCTTCTCTTTCTCCATTAGAGAGATGCAAATCAAAACAACAATGAGATATCATCTTACACCAATAATAACAGCAAAGTTCATAAAAGCAGAGGCAGAGGTGTGGAGAGACTGGGGCACTCCTACATTGCTGGTGGCAATGGAAAATTGTTCAACCACTCTGGAAAACATTATGGTGCTTCCTCAGATAGTTGGAAATAGAAATAGCTTATGATCCAGCAATTGGTATATATCCACAAGAAAACGAGCCAGAACATGAATAGATATATGCACTAGAATGTATATTGCAGTATTATTCACAACAGCAAAAAGATGGAGACAGTCCAAGTGCCCATTAATGGAAGAATGGATAAACAACTTTGGTACGTACATACAATGGAATACTATTTTAACTTGAAGAATAACAATGAAGCAGCAAAACACCTCATAACATGCACGAATCTTGAGGACACTGTGCTGAGTGAAATTAGTCACAAAAGGACAAATATTGCATAAGACCATTGTTGTAAAAGCTTAAGAAAAATACTAAAATACAAATTCTCCAAGGGGATAGTAAGGCACAGGTTAGGGTATAGACACATCATAGCTCAGGTGATGGGGAGGACAATATATAAGGAAAGGGAGGGCAAGACACAGAAGTGGGGAGCAGAAGAACAAGGAAGATAGGGGAAGACTTAAGCAGGTTTGCATGGGCTAAATGGGACAGAGGTAAATAGTGATGTATACTCAACCTTGGAACAACAGGGCTCTGTGATTTAGGGATCAAGTCATAGTCTGAACGGGTAAAAGAGGGGAAATAATGTTAAGGTGCTTGATTGTCTTCTGGATATTGCTTCCCTTTGCCTGCTATTATAAAATGGACATTTAAGTGTGATCATATTGGAAAATATGATTACAGAAAGCTTGTAAGCCCATCTTCAGCCTATAACTGATTGGAATAGCTAAAGAGGGTACTAGAATTTGCCCAGTGAAATAGGTTTTTTGTTAAACCTTGTAGAGTATGGGGCCTTAGGTGGAATCTTGAGTCTCATCCAGAACCTTCTGAGGTGGGACATTCCCACTTGAAAGGACATGCAGACCAACCTGGAGCAGCTAGAGGAACAGAAGATATGTCTTGAAAGAAAGACCAGCAGGAAAAAATAAAAAAACCCACCCCAAAACAGCAGACTGTTTGGCTGTTACAAAAACAAGGAAACTGTTCACGTAGGAGTCAACAAGGCGAGAAAAGTCAGCCCATCAGGAAAAACCCCCTTCCAACTGAAACTCAAAGAACACACAAGCAGGCTTGTAAACTCATTGGTGACTATCTTGGCCTACGTGTGAGTGGAAGTGGGGGAAAGTCAGCAATAAAGACATGGGCTGAGTTTGATCATGTTCAATAGACACCTGTCAACATTGAGATAAGAAAGAGAAGAGGAAGGGCTGTTGGTCCGAAGTTTGGGGAGACTAGGAACTCCTGAATCCATGGACACTGACCCTGCCACTGGGGAATAGAGCCAAGAGTAAAGCAGCCAGTTGATATGAAGTGGAATGAGGCTTGCAAGCAGATAATACCCATTTGGCCTTGCTTTGATGGCTTGCAGATCAGAACTCTAATAGAGGAACATAAAGAAGTTTGATACAGGAAGCAAGTATAAATTGCTACAATTTGATGAATTGACCTTTGCTTATGGATGTAATTGCTTGAAATTCCAACCAAGAGGGAATGAATCTTCTTATCAAGGATCAAGCCTAACCCCTCAGTACACAGGGAAGGGCAACTTAGACATTGGCTACCAAAAATGGGAGTTATAAAGGCACAAAGTGACTGACTTACAAGTTTTTAAGAATGTGCTTAGTTTCAGAGTGAGGGGGTTAAGGTAGAATCCCCACTGAATAGTTTTCCTCTTGTCTAGAAGGGTCTGGTGAAAGGTGATGGAGGAGGATGGGAATAGGAATCTTGATTCAATAGTAAGTACTTGTTGTCATGACTAAAACTGTTGTCACAACTGTAAAGGTAGAAGATGTGTAACGAAAAGGGGGCAGTAGTTAATCTTTCATTCCAGGAAACAGAGAACCTTAGGATAATCAAGAGGAAAGAGCATGAGTGGAACATGGGATCCTAAACAGAGAAGCAGTAACACCTCTGTTTAGGATCCTAAACAGAGTCGCCTCTGTTTCATATCTCTGCATACAGAGATAATGCAGCTGAGGACTCTAGACCAATGGAATGAGAAAGGCTGTGTGCTGGAGGGCAGGAGGCTGGCTTCCAAAATGTGTCCTTCGGCCATTTAAATGAATATGTATTTTCTGTGTGTTTTGTATACATCAAAGAGGGGGAAAAAAAAGGTCGTAGAGGAAAATACTGTTAAACAATGATACATGGAGGGCATTGTAATCGTTGCAATGAAACTAAATAAGATTGGTTTAGTGCAAAACTGACGATCTACCCAGTAAACTTACACAATTTACAATAAAAGCTTAAAAATAAAAAGAAGTGCTCTACTAATGCAAATGCCATGTCCCAGTTCAATGAAGAAAAGGATTAACAGAAATGATGTTCATGAGGAAAAAAGAAAATCCAATTCATCCTCTCTTAAAGTATGTGTAGAGTTTATCCCCAAATCTACCTTTATTAGTTTAAATATAATATGCAAACAAAAACTTTTTCTTAAGGTTAGCCTAAAGACTGAAGGTTTAAATTATATTCCTGAACACTTACAGATTTTCTATAATTTTTCAATTTTTATATTACTGCTTAATGTCCTATAACCTTCATGCAACATGGAAGAATACCTTCATTATACAATTTAGATTTTCAGTCCTCTTCCCCAAACATGACATTATTCTTGTTGCCTGCAACATCTCAGTTTAGCCGCCATAGGTTGTAAGTAGTATTGGTGCATTCTGGAGTAATACTGCTGTTTGCCTTCCTTGTTAAAGTGAAATAGGAAAAGGTTGAAATATACTAGAATTAAAGCAGCATAGTGATAGAAAGCATCAGGACCACCATGAATAATGAATATTAAACTTTAATCAGGTATTCATTAAATATTAACTTTTGAAATATCTAATAATCCAGAAAATGAAAACAAATATCAAATTACAGAAAAGAACTGAAGGTTATACATTTAAAATTGGTAATAACAATTTGATGGATTTGTCTCTTTAGAAAAAGTTTCTAAAGTCTCAATCTTATAAAACAATTATTGTAGCAAACATTTTAAACCTAGAGTATTTGTAAAATGTCAGCCTGCTTTTGCTGTCCCAAGATACATGATGCAAAAGTCTACGTTTTTCAAAGACTTGGTCTTTTGAATGGGGTATTACTGTCGATACTTAGCATACCACTTCAGGTGTTGTGTGTGTGTTGCTTGTTTTTTTCAAAAAAAAAAAAAACAATGAAAAAGGAACCTCTCTTAGTATGATGTTCCCAAGAAATATCTGCAAATAACAATTTCAGACCGTCATATCTCTAGGTGGGAGTGAGGGGGGAATAAAATTGGTGAAAACAGCTATGAATTATATATGACTATATTAATATTAGTTTGCTGTCAGGTGCATGTAAATATCCTTTACTTAATATTGCTGAATTCTAATATTCGTATAATTTCCAATAGTATATATGTCAACTTAAATGCTTGGTCTCAATATTCAATACTTTCAAGAGTTACTATTAGAATACATTTATGCTACTTTCATCAATGTCTTATTCAAAGTTATAGATAGTAGCTAATGATTAGTTAAAATTTAAGTCATTTGAATTTTGAGAGAACATAACTTGTATTTTTGTTTGTTTTTCCTTTCAGTGAGGTCTTTAGCCTGATCTTGCACCAGCAGCCAGACCCACATTTTACCTATCATTCTATCAGCTTTCTCCAAAGCTCTAATTCTTAGGATGGTGAAGAGGAAGTTTTCTTCCTTAACCGTGTTTTTACTGGACATATAGTTAATGGTACAGGATCTCCATTTTCAGTATGGGGACAAGGAAAGAAGATAGGACACAGAGGTCCTGATGGTAAAACTGGCAAACAAAGTAGGGGGCAGTCTCTTATAGCATCATAGAATAAAAGAGTTCCCAAATCATAATCGAGTAAAATTCCCACATTTTTTGTAGTAAGCTTTGAATAAGGAACTAATACTAAAGAGTTGGGATTACACAAAATATAGGATTGAGCATGTGAAACACACTTCAACAAAAACAGATCCTTATTGGAGAATGAGGCATTCTTTCTACCCATAGATGCCTTACAAATTCCTATTTCCCACTCATTATTCTCTCCCACAGTCACCTCCCAATAATGTATTCCAGAGGTAAAGTTCTGGGTTCCCATGACGGCAGGATAATCAAACCGTTCTTGGTGATCCACCACATCCTGCTTGATGCCTTTGTTAATCACACTCTTCAAATCTAGAGACACAGTGAGATAAGGACTGGCTGTTTTCCCATCCAAGGTTATATTCTCTGTGAGGGGGAAAAAAAAAATCCAACTCCTACTGATACATATTTAGAGCGTGTTATATGTCATTATATTCTAGTCAATAGGACTACAGGTCAACATTTTGTGTAACTTATATAAAAAAGTGCTCAGGTAGCATAGTGGTTACGAATCGGGCTGTGAACCGCAAGGTCAGCAGTTCGAAACTACCCCAGTTCCTTGGGATAAAGATGAGGCGTTCTGCTCCCGTAAAGATTTATACCTCGGAAACCCTGTGTAGGGTAGCTATGAGTCGGAACCGACTCCACGGCACTTAACAACAACAACATATAAAAAGTATAGTTGGACATACCCTTCTCCCCCTTGTGACTGACTTAAATGGGAACTTAATGGTAGGAGTTCTACCTGTCACCCTGAGCCAGGAAATAACCCACAGGATAGAAGTTATTCATAAAGAGAAACAAAAAGTAAGAGTATTTGAATTCATTGTGCTACCATATATTACTGCAAAACCATTTGAACTGCAAGGTCAGTGGTTCAAGCTCACCAGTCACTCCTCAGAAACCCTATATTGGGTTGCTATGGGTCAGAACTGACTCAATGGCACTTAACAACAACAACAAAACCATATATTAAATGAGTACAAAAATCTTCTACCTTATTTGTTAAGTGCTGTCAAGTTGGTTCTGACTCATTGCTACCATGTATAATGTTCCAAGGAGTGGCTAGTGAGTTTTAACTGCTGATCTTTTGGTTAGCAGTACAATGCTTACTCTACAGCATCACACCAAGACTCTTTCAACCTTGTTTAATTTATCATTATCTTGATTTTTACTATAACTTGTGTTATTAAGTTATTGTTAGATGCCTTTGAGTCCCTTCCAACTCATAGTGACCCTATGTACAACAGAACAATGTACTGCTCAGTCCTGTGCCACCTTCATAACTGTTCCTAGGCTTGAGCACATGATTGTAGCCACTGTGTCAACCCATCTCCTTTAAGGTCTTTATTTTTGTTGTTGTTGTTGACCCTCTACTTTTCCAAGCATGCTGGCCTTCTTCAGGGACTGGTGCCTTCAGATAGCATGTCCAAAATGCAGTTGCCAATGTTTCAAGCTCCTTTGTTCTAAGGAGCATCTGACTGTACTTTCTCCAACACAAATTTGTTCATAACACTTTAAAGAGGTCTTTTGCAGCAAAACTGCTCAATGCAATACACCATTTGATTTCTTGAGTATTGCTTCCATAAATGGTGATTGTGGATCTAAATAAAATGAAATCCTTGATAACGTCAATCTTTTCTATTATTATGATGTTGCTTGTTGATCCAATTGTGAGGATTTTTCTTTGTTTCTGTTCAATCTCTGTTCTTCTTCACAAAGGCTTCCAAGCCTCTTTGTTTTCAGCAAACAGGTTGCCGTCATCTGTGTATCACAGGTTGTTGTTAATGAGTCTTCTTCCAATCCTGATGCCATATTCTTCTTAGATTATTTGCTCAGCAAACAGTTTGATTAGATATGGTGAAAGGATACAACTTCGAAGTTCACCTTTCCTGATTTTCAACCATGCAGTATTCTCTTGTTGTGTTTACCTTTTGGTCTATTTACAAGTTACACATGAGCACAATTACGTGTTCTGGAATTCCCATTCTCCACAATGCTATTCACCATTTGTTATGATTCACACAGTTGAATGTCTTTACATAGTAAATGAAGCACAGGGAAACATCTTTCTGGTATTCTCTGTTTCCAGCTAAAATTTATCTGACAACAATATTGTTCTTAATTCCACATCTCTTCTGAATCCAGCATTAGTTTCTGGACTATTCCAAGGGCTTTTGAACTATCTTCAGAAAAATTTAACTTGAGTGTGATATTAATGATATTGTTTGATAATTTCTGCATTCTTTTGGATCAGCTTTGTTTGGAATGGGCACACAGATATGGATTTATTCCAATTGTTTGGCAAAGTAGTTGTCTTCTATATGTATTGGCATAGATGAGTGACCACCTCCAGCGTTACATCCATTTATGGAAATACTTCAATTAGAATTCCTTCTAGTTCTGGACCCTTAGTTTTCACCAATGCTTTCATGGCAGCTTTCAGATCTTAACCTTGGGACAGTCAGTGTATTAGAACTATTATTTCTAGTAAAATCTAATTCTAACACTTTTTATTGTTAAAAGGATAAAGGAAGATTTAACATGAACACCTCAACATGGAATTTGTTACATTCATTATGGTCTGTGTGTGTGTGTTTGTATTGATGGTAGGTGAACAGGTGGGTGGTAAGTTCATGGATGAGGACTGAAGCATTGGAGAAAGCTGTGTCATGCCTGGAAAAATGGTGGAGAGCAACAGAGAAGAACTGCTTTCAAACCTCTATTTAGCCAAGGAAAATAATTGGAATGTTCCAAATCACACCAAAAGTATTTTCTCAAAACTTACAGTTCCTGGGAAAAGGGTATTGTTTGTTCTAGGTGCTGTCCAGTCCTCTCCAAATAATAGCAACCCTATGTACAACAGAATGAAGTACTAGCTTGTCCTGCACTGTACTCTCAGGTTTTGTTTGAGTTAGCAGTACAATGCTTACCCTACATTGCTGCAGCTAACTTGTCAACCCATTTCCTTGGGGGGGAAGGGTCTTCCTCATTTTTGTTAGCACACTAATTTACCAAGAACAATATTCCTTTTCAAGGGATTGGTCATTTCTAATTAACATGTCCAATGTACACTGAGACACTCTCATTATGCTCAGTTTAAAGGAGCATTCTGGCTGTACTTCTTCCAACAAAGATTTGTTTGTTCTCTGAAAGTCCATGATACTTTCAATATTCTTCACAAACACCACAACTCAAATACATCAATTCTTCTATGGTTTTCCTTATTATATTGTGCAGCTTTCAAATGCATATAAGACAACTGAAACTAGATGGCTTGGGTCAGTTTCACCTTAGTCCTCATAGGGACATCTTTCCTCTTTAACAATTTAAAAGAGGTTTTGTAAAACATATTTACTCAATACAATATATCCTTTGTGTTTTTGACTGCTGGTTCCATGAGCATGGATTGTGGAGCCAAGTAAAATGAAATCCTTTAACAATGTCAATCTTTTCTCCATTTTTCATAGTTTTGTTTGCTGGTCCAGTTGTGAGGAGTATTTTACATTTTCTTTATATTGATTTGTAATCCAAACTGATGGCTGTACTCTTTGATCTTCATTAGCAAGTAATTCAAGTCCTCTTTGCTTTTAGGAAGTGAGGTTGTATCATTGCCATTATCACATGTTCTAAAAGAACTTTCCTTCAATCCTGGCACAGCATTCTTCTTCATATAGTACAGCTTCTCAAGTTATTTGCTCTTCATACAGCTTGAATAAGTATGGTGAAAGGATATAATCCTGGTGCTCACTTTTCCTGATTTAAAACTATGCAGTATCCACTTGTTCTATTTAATTACCTCTTAGCCTATGTAGCCACTCCTCATAAACATAATAAAGTGTTCTGGAATTCCCATTCTTTGCAATGTTATCCATAGATTGTTATGATCCACACAGTCACATGGCTTTGCATACTCAATAAATCACAAGTCAATGTATTTGTTATTCTCTTCTTTCAGCCACAATCCATCTGACATCAACAATGATATCTCTCCCTCCACATCCTCTTCTGAATCCAGCGTCTATTTCTAGCAACTCTCTGTCAGTATACTGCTGCAACTAATTTTACATTATCTTCAGCAAAATTTTTCTTGTATGTGAAATTATATTATTTGATAATTTCTATATTCTGTTGGGTTACCTTTCTTTGATAGGAGCATATATGAATCTCTTCTAGTGGATTGGCCAGATAGCTGTCGTCCAAATTTCTTGGCATAGACTAGTGAATGCTTCCATTGCTGCCTTAGTTTGTTGAAACATTTCGATTGGTATTCTGTCCATTCCTGCATCCTAGATTTTCCCTAATATTTCCAGTGCAGTTTGGACCTTTTCTTCAGTACTATCTTGATCATGTGTTACTTAATGAAATGGCTGAACACTGACCAATTCCTCTGGTACAGCAACTCTGTATATTCTTTCCATTTTCTTTTGCTACTTCCTGCAGTGTTCCATATTACAACTTGAGACTTGATTTTTTTTTTTCATTTATTTCAATTTGAGGACTGCTGAGTATGTTCACCTCATTTGGTTTTCTAAGTCCATGGCTTTGCACATTTTTCTTCTCTATTTTCCCCTTGAAATGTTCTGTTAAACTCTTTTACTGAATTATTTCTTCCATTGGGTTTAACCTCTCTAAGTTCAAAAGCCAGGTTTCAGATTCTCTTCTGATATTTACTTTGGTCTTTTATTTCTTTCCTGTCCTTTTAATGACCTTTTGCTTTCTCCCTTTATGATGTTCTTGATGTTATCTCACAACTCTTCTGGTCTTGGGTCATCAGTGTGTAAAGCATCAAATCTGTTCTTGATATGGTCTCTAAATTTAGATGGGAGATGTTCAAGGTCATAGTCAGCTTCAGCCAATTAATACTGCATATAAGCAATTGATGTTCCACCACCTGCCTCCGTCTTGTTTTGGCTGGTGATATGGAGCTTCTCTATCCTCTCTTCCCATGTTGTTGTTGTTGTTAAGTGCCATGGAGTAGGTACCTACCCATAGTGACACTGTATGGGGTTTCCAAGTCTGTAAATCTTTACGGGAGAAGAACGCCTCATCTTTCTCCCTTGGAACTGCTGATAGTTTTGAAGTGCTGACCTTGAGGTCAGCAGCCCAACTCATAACCACTGCACTACTAGAGCTCCATTCTTTTCCTATAGGTGTAATCAATTTGATTCCTGAGGAGTCAATCCACTAAGGTCCACATGTATAGTTTCCATTTATGCTACAGAAAAAAAGATATTTGCAATGAATAAGTTTTAGTTCTTATAAAACCCTATCTTGTGATCTCCAGCACCATTTCTTTTACTGAGGTCTATTTGCCATGGGCTACCAAAAGAACAAACAGATCTGTGTTGAAAGAAGTGCAGCCAGAGTGCTCCTTGGAGGCCAGGATGGCCAAATTTCATCTCTCATACTTTGGGTATCTTGTCAGGAGGGACCAGTCTCTGGAGAAGGATATATCGTTTGGTAAGGTGGGGGGGTCAGAAAAGAAGAGGACGACTCCCAGCAAGATGGATTGGCAAAGTGGCAGCATCAATGGGCTCTAGCACGGCAACAATTGTGAGGTTGGCCCAGGATCAGGCAGTGTTTCGTTCTGTTGTGCATAGGATCCCTATGAGTCAGTACTGACTCGATGGCACCTAACAGCAACAACAATTTTCCAACAACCAATCCTTTGTTTCTAACATTCACATTCTAATCACCATTAATTATAAATGCATCTTTTTAAAAAAAGTGTTATTGTGAATTGAGTGAGGGTTTACAGACAAGATCATCAGTTTTACATTCAACAAATCATACTTTGTTTCATCTCAATGATTGCAGTCCCCTCCCTCCACTCAACAACAGTTATCCTGCTTCCTCCCTGTGTGCTTCTATTTCCATTCCACTCACCTTCCCATCCCTTCACACCTTTGTCTTTCAGTACACGTTGCTCCTTTGATTTGGAATGATTGACTATTCTATCGTTCATACTGAGCACACGTAGCTAGTGTTGTTGTTCTTCCTATATACCTATATATTGAAAGCTGGGCCATGAGGGTGAGTTTTTTCCCAGACCTGAAGGGTGGTCAAGGACTATAGTGTCAGGTTCCTCCAGTCTCTTTCTGACCAGTAACCCCACTTTTCTTTTTGGTTTTAATAATTTTGAGTTTTATTCCACACATTCTGCCACTCTCTCTGGTACCTTCGAATGTGATCCCTTTCAGAGCTGTTGGCAGTGGTAGATGGGCACCATCTAGTTCTTCTGGTCTTAGAATCATAGAGACTGATGTCCACATGTTCCATTATTAGCCCATTGGACTAATTTATTCCAAATATTTTCTATTCTCATCACTCTTTCTTGTGCATATGGAGAGACCAATAGCTACACTTTACACAGCCACTCACGAGCTTTTAATATACCAGA